ACAAGAGAGGAAATCAAACAATCGTTTTCGCAGTTTTTCTGTGACGCAGGTTGAATTTCAAATTTATGCAAGTTTTTCTTTAAGAAAGCCCCTTTCAAAAGATGATCAGGTGTCGAACGGAATACTCGGAATGCTGAATTTTCATTATTGTTTTTATTTTGTTTTTTTTTTTGTTTTTGTTTTTGTTTTTTTTTTTTTGCTTGCATACCTTTTATTTTATATTCCGACTTGTTTTACAATTTTAATTCAGTCTTGAAGGAATGAAAATATAATCTGTTCTTCGCAAATGGTTTGGACATTAAATGCATACAAACCATTTGTATTATCTTCTAATACTCTAAGACTCTCTTTTTATTATACCCATTGAACAGTCTTTCTTTTTCTTAGAATAGCTTTAAACATTCAACCTCTTTTATGCTTGGCATGTATTTCAATGACATTTCCCCCTAAATTGCGATGTTCTCTGAAATTTTTTATTCCTACTGATCAAATTGGTTGCATTACAAGTCCTGTTGCAGTGGGAAAAAGTCTATGCATTAAAATGTTAGGCCCCAAAACTAGAGAAATAATAATGCAGACTACGTAACTATTTAACGAAGCTAAAGTTCTTGTCAATAGAGTGTACAGAATCAAGTCAAATCTCTTTAAAAGTAATAAGTAAAAAACAGTTTGAGAGCTCATTTTCACCTTATTACGAAGAACCACATCCATTGTTTTGGTCAATTAGTCACTAGTTAAGAAACTACTGGTGCATAAAAATACCTCTAACAATAGGGTATAAATATCAATATAAAAGATATCGGAACTCGTTCAGAATTAATTGTCTGAAGCTATTCAGATCCAAGTAAGGAGTGCAGAGGTTTTTGAAATAAAGCTTACGCAGAGAATCCAAATGCGCGACAGACAAAAGCAGTGTCTTTTGCAGTCCAACCATCATCACAAATTGTTCCCCAAACTCCATTGTGATATACTTCTACTCTTCCCTCGTATGGTGTTTGACCTCCGACGAGACGCAACGTGATGCCTTAGGAAGAGAAAAAAATATCTCTGAACATATTTCATTTGCTTTTTATACTTGCCAAGAGGGTCAGAATTCCTGACACGTGAAGAGATCGACGCGCTAAAAGCACAGATACCTTTTTTATACAAAAGGCAACTCTTGAGTGTTTATCATGAAAAACAAATGGAGAACACGCTCTTGTGAGTGGTGGTTAAGTCAGAATATTTGAATTCATTTTTGACATGCTTAAAAGTATCTTTCTTACTAAGATGTGCCGAACAGTTGACAGAAACGTCTTCACTGTGTCCGCAGTTATGGGTTCCCCATCCATTGTGTTGACACTGGTCAATTCTACTTTCGTTCCCGATACAAGAGACGTCATCCAAGTGTATTGGGCCAGTCGCCACGCCATACGGATTACCAGATAAGACAGTAGCATTTTCTCTGGAGGAATTCAAAATACAATTTTCGCACTTTTAAAAATAAATGACACTGATATTTTTTTATACTTTATTTTGAAGTGGGCTTTATCGATTAGTCACTATATCAGAGATCAGTGGACAGAAAATTCCCTATTAGAATAGGATCAAAATATCACAATGAGAGAAAATGGAATACATTCAGTACTAACTGTCTAAATCTTTTCAAATCTAAGTAAAGATTTCAGAGATATTTGAAATAAAGCTTACGCAGAGAATCCAAATGCTTGACAGACAAAAGTAGTGTCTTTTGCAGTCCAACCATCATCACAAATTGTTCCCCAAACTCCATTGTGATATACTTCTACTCTTCCCTCGTATGGTGTTTGACCTCCGACGAGACGCAACGTGTTGTCTAAAAGGGAAAAAGGAAATATCTCTGAACATATTTCATTTGCTTTTCTCCCTTGCCAAGAAAGTCAGAGAATTTTGAGCATGTGAAGAGGTCTACGTGCTAAAAGGACAGAGACCTTTATTTTCTGAAACAAAGGGAAACTATTGAGTGTTTGATATGCAAACAAAAGGATAACACATCCTTGTGACTATTGAGTATTAATTTCATTTTTGACATGCTTAAAAGTATCTTTCTTACTAAGACGTGCCGAACAGTTGACAGCAACGTCTTCACTGTGTCCGCAGTTATGGTTTCCCCATCCATTGTGCTGACACTGGTCAATTCTGCTTTCGCTCCCGACACAAGAGACGTCATCCAAGTGTATTGGGCCAGTCGCCACGCCATACGGATTACCAGATAAGGCAGTAGCATTTTCTCTGGAGGAAATCAAACAATCATTTTCGCAGTTTGGGAGAAATAAATGACTGTGACCTTTATTTTCTTATTTTATTTGACATTTTGAGATGCATTTCTCTCCCATTTCAAATTTATGCAATCAAAGTGTTTTTCTCGCAGGTTTAAAAACAAGCTTTTAAGAAAGCCCCTTTCAAAAGATGATCAGGTTCGAATGGAATACTCGGAATGCTGGATTTTCCTTATTGTTTTTTTTTTTGTTTTTTTTTTTTTTGTTTGCATACCTTTTATTTTTTTTTTGCTTGCATACCTTTTATATTCCGACTTGTTTTACAATTTTAATTCAGTCTTGAAGGAATGAAAATATAATCTGTTCTTCGCAAATGGTTTGGACATTAAATGCATACAAACCATTTGTATTATCTTCTAATACTCTAAGACTCTCTTTTTATTATACCCATTGAACAGTCTTTCTTTTTCTTAGAATAGCTTTAAACATTCAACCTCTTTTATGCTTGGCATGTATTTCAATGACATTTCCCCCTAAATTGCGATGTTCTCTGAAATTTTTTATTCCTACTTTTCCTTAATTTGATCAAATTGGTTGCATTACAAGTCCTGTTGCAGTGGGAAAAAGTCTATGCATTAAAATGTTAGGCCCCAAAACTAGACAAATAATAATGCAGACTACGTAACTATTTAACGAAGCTAAAGTTCTTGTCAATAGAGTGTACAGAATCAAGTCAAATCTCTTTAAAAGTAATAAGTAAAAAACAGTTTGAGAGCTCATTTTCACCTTATTACGAAGAACCACATCCATTGTTTTGGTCAATTAGTCACTAGTTAAGAAACTACTGGTGCATAAAAATACCTCTAACAATAGGGTATAAATATCAATATAAAAGATATCGGAACTCGTTCAAAATTAATTGTCTGAAGCTATTCAGATCCAAGTAAGGAGTGCAGAGGTTTTTGAAATAAAGCTTACGCAGAGAATCCAAATGCGCGACAGACAAAAGCAGTGTCTTTTGCAGTCCAACCATCATCACAAATTGTTCCCCAAACTCCATTGTGATATACTTCTACTCTTCCCTCGTATGGTGTTTGACCTCCGACGAGACGCAACGTGATGCCTTAGGAAGAGAAAAAAATATCTCTGAACATATTTCATTTGTTTTTTATACTTGCAAAGAGAGTCAGAATTCCTGACACGTGAAGAGATCGACGCGCTAAAAGCACAGATACCTTTTTTATACAAAAGGCAACTCTTGAGTGTTTATCATGAAAAACAAATGGAGAACACGCTCTTGTGAGTGGTGGTTAAGTCAGAATATTTGAATTCATTTTTGACATGCTTAAAAGTATCTTTCTTACTAAGATGTGCCGAACAGTTGACAGAAACGTCTTCACTGTGTCCGCAGTTATGGGTTCCCCATCCATTGTGTTGACACTGGTCAATTCTACTTTCGTTCCCGATACAAGAGACGTCATCCAAGTGTATTGGGCCAGTCGCCACGCCATACGGATTACCAGATAAGGCAGTAGCATTTTCTCTGGAGGAATTCAAAATACAATTTTCGCAGTTTAAAAAATAAATGACACTGATATTTTTTTATACTTTATTTTGAAGTGGGCTTTATCGATTAGTCACTATATCAGAGATCAGTGGACAGAAAATTCCCTATTAGAATAGGATCAAAATATCACAATGAGAGAAAATGGAATACATTCAGTACTAACTGTCTAAATCTTTTCAAATCTAAGTAAAGATTTCAGAGATATTTGAAATAAAGCTTACGCAGAGAATCCAAATGCTTGACAGACAAAAGTAGTGTCTTTTGCAGTCCAACCATCATCACAAATTGTTCCCCAAACTCCATTGTGATATACTTCTACTCTTCCCTCGTATGGTGTTCGACCTCCGACGAGACGCAACGTGTTGTCTAAAAGGGAAAAAGGAAATATCTCTGAACATATTGCATTTGCTTTTCTCCCTTGCCAAGAAAGTCAGAGAATTTTGAGCATGTGAAGAGGACTACGTGCTAAAAGGACAGAGACCTTTATTTTCTGAAACAAAGGGAAACTATTGAGTGTTTGATATGCAAACAAAAGGATAAAACCTCCTTGTGACTATTGAGTATTAATTTCATTTTTGACATGCTTAAAAGTATCTTTCTTACTAAGACGTGCCGAACAGTTGACAGCAACGTCTTCACTGTGTCCGCAGTTATGGTTTCCCCATCCATTGTGCTGACACTGGTCAATTCTGCTTTCGCTCCCGACACAAGAGACGTCATCCAAGTGTATTGGGCCAGTCGCCACGCCATACGGATTACCAGATAAGGCAGTAGCATTTTCTCTGGAGGAAATCAAACAATCGTTTTCGCAGTTTGGGAAAAATAAATGACTGTGACGTTTATTTTCTTATTTTATTTGACATTTTGAGATGCATTTCTCTCCCATTTCAATTTTATGCAATCAAAGTGTTTTTCTCGCAGGTTGAAAAACAAGCTTTAAGAAAGCCCCTTTCAAAAGATGATCAGGTGTCGAATGGAATACTCGGAATGCTGGATTTTCTTCTTCTTTTTTTTTTGTTTTTTGTTTTTTTTGCTTGCATACCTTTTATTTTATATTCCGACTTGTTTTACAATTTTAATTCAGTCTTGAAGGAATGAAAATATAATCTGTTCTTCGCAAATGGTTTGGACATTAAATGCATACAAACCATTTGTATTATCTTCTAATACTCTAAGACTCTCTTTTTATTATACCCATTGAACAGTCTTTCTTTTTCTTAGAATAGCTTTAAACATTCAACCTCTTTTATGCTTGGCATGTATTTCAATGACATTTCCCCCTAAATTGCGATGTTCTCTGAAATTTTTTATTCCTACTTTTCCTTAATTTGATCAAATTGGTTGCATTACAAGTCCTGTTGCAGTGGGAAAAAGTCTATGCATTAAAATGTTAGGCCCCAAAACTAGAGAAATAATAATGCAGACTACGTAACTATTTAACGAAGCTAAAGTTCTTGTCAATAGAGTGTACAGAATCAAGTCAAATCTCTTTAAAAGTAATAAGTAAAAAACAGTTTGAGAGCTCATTTTCACCTTATTACGAAGAACCACATCCATTGTTTTGGTCAATTAGTCACTAGTTAAGAAACTACTGGTGCATAAAAATACCTCTAACAATAGGGTATAAATATCAATATAAAAGATATCGGAACTCGTTCAAAATTAATTGTCTGAAGCTATTCAGATCCAAGTAAGGAGTGCAGAGGTTTTTGAAATAAAGCTTACGCAGAGAATCCAAATGCGCGACAGACAAAAGCAGTGTCTTTTGCAGTCCAACCATCATCACAAATTGTTCCCCAAACTCCATTGTGATATACTTCTACTCTTCCCTCGTATGGTGTTTGACCTCCGACGAGACGCAACGTGATGCCTTAGGAAGAGAAAAAAATATCTCTGAACATATTTCATTTGCTTTTTATACTTGCCAAGAGAGTCAGAATTCCTGACACGTGAAGAGATCGACGCGCTAAAAGCACAGATACCTTTTTTATACAAAAGGCAACTCTTGAGTGTTTATCATGAAAAACAAATGGAGAACACGCTCTTGTGAGTGGTGGTTAAGTCAGAATATTTGAATTCATTTTTGACATGCTTAAAAGTATCTTTCTTACTAAGATGTGCCGAACAGTTGACAGAAACGTCTTCACTGTGTCCGCAGTTATGGGTTCCCCATCCATTGTGTTGACACTGGTCAATTCTACTTTCGTTCCCGATACAAGAGACGTCATCCAAGTGTATTGGGCCAGTCGCCACGCCATACGGATTACCAGATAAGGCAGTAGCATTTTCTCTGGAGGAATTCAAAATACAATTTTCGCAGTTTTAAAAATAAATGACACTGATATTTTTTTATACTTTATTTTGAAGTGGGCTTTATCGATTAGTCACTATATCAGAGATCAGTGGACAGAAAATTCCCTATTAGAATAGGATCAAAATATCACAATGAGAGAAAATGGAATACATTCAGTACTAACTGTCTAAATCTTTTCAAATCTAAGTAAAGATTTCAGAGATATTTGAAATAAAGCTTACGCAGAGAATCCAAATGCTTGACAGACAAAAGTAGTGTCTTTTGCAGTCCAACCATCATCACAAATTGTTCCCCAAACTCCATTGTGATATACTTCTACTCTTCCCTCGTATGGTGTTTGACCTCCGACGAGACGCAACGTGTTGTCTAAAAGGGAAAAAGGAAATATCTCTGAACATATTTCATTTGCTTTTCTCCCTTGCCAAGAAAGTCAGAGAATTTTGAGCATGTGAAGAGGTCTACGTGCTTAAAGGACAGAGACCTTTATTTTCTGAAACAAAGGGAAACTATTGAGTGTTTGATATGCAAACAAAAGGATAACACATCCTTGTGACTATTGAGTATTAATTTCATTTTTGACATGCTTAAAAGTATCTTTCTTACTAAGACGTGCCGAACAGTTGACAGCAACGTCTTCACTGTGTCCGCAGTTATGGTTTCCCCATCCATTGTGCTGACACTGGTCAATTCTGCTTTCGCTCCCGACACAAGAGACGTCATCCAAGTGTATTGGGCCAGTCGCCACGCCATACGGATTACCAGATAAGGCAGTAGCATTTTCTCTGGAGGAAATCAAACAATCATTTTCGCAGTTTGGGAGAAATAAATGACTGTGATGTTTATTTTCTTATTTTATTTGACATTTTGAGATGCATTTCTCTCCCATTTCAAATTTATGCAATCAAAGTGTTTTTCTCGCAGGTTGAAAAACAAACTTTAAGAAAGCCCCTTTCAAAAGATGATCAGGTGTCGAATGGAATACTCGGAATGCTGGATTTTCTTTTTTTTTTTTTTTTTTTTTTTTTTTTTTTTTTTTTTTTTTTTTTTTTTTTTTTTTTTTTTTTTGTTTTTGTTTTTTTTTTTTTTTTTTTTTTGCTTGCATACCTTTTATTTTATATTCCGACTTGTTTTACAATTTTAATTCAGTCTTGAAGGAATGAAAATATAATCTGTTCTTCGCAAATGGTTTGGACATTAAATGCATACAAACCATTTGTATTATCTTCTAATACTCTAAGACTCTCTTTTTATTATACCCATTGAACAGTCTTTCTTTTTCTTAGAATAGCTTTAAACATTCAACCTCTTTTATGCTTGGCATGTATTTCAATGACATTTCCCCCTAAATTGCGATGTTCTCTGAAATTTTTTATTCCTACTTTTCCTTAATTTGATCAAATTGGTTGCATTACAAGTCCTGTTGCAGTGGGAAAAAGTCTATGCATTAAAATGTTAGGCCCCAAAACTAGAGAAATAATAATGCAGACTACGTAACTATTTAACGAAGCTAAAGTTCTTGTCAATAGAGTGTACAGAATCAAGTCAAATCTCTTTAAAAGTAATAAGTAAAAAACAGTTTGAGAGCTCATTTTCACCTTATTACGAAGAACCACATCCATTGTTTTGGTCAATTAGTCACTAGTTAAGAAACTACTGGTGCATAAAAATACCTCTAACAATAGGGTATAAATATCAATATAAAAGATATCGGAACTCGTTCAAAATTAATTGTCTGAAGCTATTCAGATCCAAGTAAGGAGTGCAGAGGTATTTGAAATAAAGCTTACGCAGAGAATCCAAATGCGCGACAGACAAAAGCAGTGTCTTTTGCAGTCCAACCATCATCACAAATTGTTCCCCAAACTCCATTGTGATATACTTCTACTCTTCCCTCGTATGGTGTTTGACCTCCGACGAGACGCAACGTGATGCCTTAGGAAAAGAAAAAAATATCTCTGAACATATTTCATTTGCTTTTCTCCCTTGTCAAGAGAATCAGAATTCCTGACACGTGAAGAGATCGACGCGCTAAAAGCACAGATACCTTTTTTATACAAAAGGCAACTCTTGAGTGTTTATCATGAAAAACAAATGGAGAACACGCTCTTGTGAGTGGTGGTTAAGTCAGAATATTTGAATTCATTTTTGACATGCTTAAAAGTATCTTTCTTACTAAGATGTGCCGAACAGTTGACAGAAACGTCTTCACTGTGTCCGCAGTTATGGGTTCCCCATCCATTGTGTTGACACTGGTCAATTCTACTTTCGTTCCCGATACAAGAGACGTCATCCAAGTGTATTGGGCCAGTCGCCACGCCATACGGATTACCAGATAAGGCAGTAGCATTTTCTCTGGAGGAATTCAAAATACAATTTTCGCAGTTTTAAAAATAAATGACACTGATATTTTTTTATACTTTATTTTGAAGTGGGCTTTATCGATTAGTCACTATATCAGAGATCAGTGGACAGAAAATTCCCTATTAGAATAGGATCAAAATATCACAATGAGAGAAAATGGAATACATTCAGTACTAACTGTCTAAATCTTTTCAAATCTAAGTAAAGATTTCAGAGATATTTGAAATAAAGCTTACGCAGAGAATCCAAATGCTTGACAGACAAAAGTAGTGTCTTTTGCAGTCCAACCATCATCACAAATTGTTCCCCAAACTCCATTGTGATATACTTCTACTCTTCCCTCGTATGGTGTTTGACCTCCGACGAGACGCAACGTGTTGTCTAAAAGGGAAAAAGGAAATATCTCTGAACATATTTCATTTGCTTTTCTCCCTTGCCAAGAAAGTCAGAGAATTTTGAGCATGTGAAGAGGTCTACGTGCTAAAAGGACAGAGACCTTTATTTTCTGAAACAAAGGGAAACTATTGAGTGTTTGATATGCAAACAAAAGGATAAAACATCCTTGTGACTATTGAGTATTAATTTCATTTTTGACATGCTTAAAAGTATCTTTCTTACTAAGACGTGCCGAACAGTTGACAGCAACGTCTTCACTGTGTCCGCAGTTATGGTTTCCCCATCCATTGTGCTGACACTGGTCAATTCTGCTTTCGCTCCCGACACAAGAGACGTCATCCAAGTGTATTGGGCCAGTCGCCACGCCATACGGATTACCAGATAACGCAGTAGCATTTTCTCTGGAGGAAATCAAACAATCGTTTTCGCAGTTTGGAAAAAAATAAATGACTGTGACGTTTATTTTCTTATTTTATTTGACATTTTGAGATGCATTTCTCTCCCATTTCAAATTTTTGCAATCAAAGTGTTTTTCTCGCAGGTTTAAAAACAAACTTTAAGAAAGCCCCTTTCAAAAGATGATCAGGTATCGAATGGAATACTCGGAATGCTGGATTTTCTTTTTTTTTTCTTTTTTTTTTTTTTTTTTTTGCTTGCATACCTTTTATTTTATATTCCGACTTGTTTTACAATTTGAATTCAGTCTTGAAGGAATGAAAATATAATCTGTTCTTCGCAAATGGTTTGGACATTAAATGCATACAAACCATTTGTATTATCTTCTAATACTCTAAGACTCTCTTTTTATTATACCCATTGAACATTCTTTCTTTTTTCTTAGAATAGCTTTAAACATTCAACCTCTTTTATGCTTTGGATGCATTTCAATGACATTTCCCCCTAAATTGCGATGTTGTCTGAAATTTTTTATTCCTACTTTTCCTTAATTTGATCAAATTGGTTGCATTACAAGTCCTGTTGCAGTGGGAAAATGTCTATGCATTAAAATGTTAGGCCCCAAAACTAGAGAAATAATAATGCAGACTACGTAACTATTTAACGAAGCTAAAGTTCTTGTCAATAGAGTGTACAGAATCAAGTCAAATCTCTTTAAAAGTAATAAGTAAAAAACAGTTTGAGAGCTCATTTTCACCTTATTACGAAGAACCACATCCATTGTTTTGGTCAATTAGTCACTATTTAAGAAACTACTGGTGCATAAAAATACCTCTAACAATAGGGTATAAATATCAATACAAAAGATATCGGAACTCGTTCAAAATTAATTGTCTGAAGCTATTCAGATCCAAGTAAGGAGTGCAGAGGTATTTGAAATAAAGCTTACGCAGAGAATCCAAATGCGCGACAGACAAAAGCAGTGTCTTTTGCAGTCCAACCATCATCACAAATTGTTCCCCAAACTCCATTGTGATATACTTCTACTCTTCCCTCGTATGGTGTTTGACCTCCGACGAGACGCAACGTGATGCCTTAGGAAAAGAAAAAAATATCTCTGAACATATTTCATTTGCTTTTTATACTTGCCAAGAGAGTCAGAATTCCTGACACGTGAAGAGATCGACGCGCTAAAAGCACAGATACCTTTTTTATACAAAAGGCAACTCTTGAGTGTTTGAAATTGAAAACAAATGGAGAACACGCTCTTTGAGTGGTGGTTAAGTCAGAATATTTGAATTCATTTTTGACATGCTTAAAAGTATCTTTCTTACTAAGATGTGCCGAACAGTTGACAGAAACGTCTTCACTGTGTCCGCAGTTATGGGTTCCCCATCCATTGTGTTGACACTGGTCAATTCTACTTTCGTTCCCGATACAAGAGACGTCATCCAAGTGTATTGGGCCAGTCGCCACGCCATACGGATTACCAGATAAGGCAGTAGCATTTTCTCTGGAGGAATTCAAAATACAATTTTCGCAGTTTTAAAAATAAATGACACTGATATTTTTTATACTTTATTTTGAAGTGGGCTTTATCGATTAGTCACTATATCAGAGATCAGTGGACAGAAAATTCCCTATTAGAATAGGATCAAAATATCACAATGAGAGAAAATGGAATACATTCAGTACTAACTGTCTAAATCCTTTCAAATCTAAGTAAAGATTTCAGAGATATTTGAAATAAAGCTTACGCAGAGAATCCAAATGCTTGACAGACAAAAGTAGTGTCTTTTGCAGTCCAACCATCATCACAAATTGTTCCCCAAACTCCATTGTGATATACTTCTACTCTTCCCTCGTATGGTGTTTGACCTCCGACGAGACGCAACGTGTTGTCTAAAAGGGAAAAAGGAAATATCTCTGAACATATTTCATTTGCTTTTCTCCCTTGCCAAGAAAGTCAGAGAATTTTGAGCATGTGAAGAGGTCTATGTACTAAAAGGACAGAGACCTTTATTTTCTGAAACAAAGGGAAACTATTGAGTGTTTGAAATGCAAACAAAAGGATAACACATCCTTGTGACTATTGAGTGTTAATTTCATTTTTGACATGCTTAAAAGTATCTTTCTTACTAAGACGTGCTGAACAGTTGACAGCAACGTCTTCACTGTGTCCGCAGTTATGGTTTCCCCATCCATTGTGCTGACACTGGTCAATTCTGCTTTCGCTCCCGACACAAGAGACGTCATCCAAGTGTATTGGGCCAGTCGCCACGCCATACGGATTACCAGATAACGCAGTAGCATTTTCTCTGGAGGAAATCAAACAATCGTTTTCGCAGTTTGGAAAAAAATAAATGACTGTGACGTTTATTTTCTTATTTTATTTGACATTTTGAGATGCATTTCTCTCCCATTTCAAATTTTTGCAATCAAAGTGTTTTTCTCGCAGGTTTAAAAACAAACTTTAAGAAAGCCCCTTTCAAAAGATGATCAGGTATCGAATGGAATACTCGGAATGCTGGATTTTCTTTTTTTTTCTTTTTTTTTTTTTTGCTTGCATACCTTTTATTTTATATTCCGACTTGTTTTACAATTTGAATTCAGTCTTGAAGGAATGAAAATATAATCTGTTCTTCGCAAATGGTTTGGACATTAAATGCATACAAACCATTTGTATTATCTTCTAATACTCTAAGACTCTCTTTTTATTATACCCATTGAACATTCTTTCCCGTTTCTTAGAATAGCTTTAAACATTCAACCTCTTTTATGCTTTGGATGCATTTCAATGACATTTCCCCCTAAATTGCGATGTTGTCTGAAATTTTTTATTCCTACTTTTCCTTAATTTGATCAAATTGGTTGCATTACAAGTCCTGTTGCAGTGGGAAAATGTCTATGCATTAAAATGTTAGGCCCCAAAACTAGAGAAATAATAATGCAGACTACGTAACTATTTAACGAAGCTAAAGTTCTTGTCAATAGAGTGTACAGAATCAAGTCAAATCTCTTTAAAAGTAATAAGTAAAAAACAGTTTGAGAGCTCATTTTCACCTTATTACGAAGAACCACATCCATTGTTTTGGTCAATTAGTCACTATTTAAGAAACTACTGGTGCATAAAAATACCTCTAACAATAGGGTATAAATATCAGTATAAAAGATATCGGAACTCGTTCAAAATTAATTGTCTGAAGCTTTTCAGATCCAAGTAAGGAGTGCAGAGGTATTTGAAATAAAGCTTACGCAGAGAATCCAAATGCGCGACAGACAAAAGCAGTGTCTTTTGCAGTCCAACCATCATCACAAATTGTTCCCCAAACTCCATTGTGATATACTTCTACTCTTCCCTCGTATGGTGTTTGACCTCCGACGAGACGCAACGTGATGCCTTAGGAAAAGAAAAAAATATCTCTGAACATATTTCATTTGCTTTTTATACTTGCCAAGAGAGTCAGAATTCCTGACACGTGAAGAGATCGACGCGCTAAAAGCACAGATACCTTTTTTATACAAAAGGCAACTCTAGAGTGTTTGAAATTGAAAGCAAATGGAGAACACGCTCTTGTGAGTGGTGGTTAAGTCAGAATATTTGAATTCATTTTTGACATGCTTAAAAGTATCTTTCTTACTAAGATGTGCCGAACAGTTGACAGAAACGTCTTCACTGTGTCCGCAGTTATGGGTTCCCCATCCATTGTGTTGACACTGGTCAATTCTACTTTCGTTCCCGATACAAGAGACGTCATCCAAGTGTATTGGGCCAGTCGCCACGCCATACGGATTACCAGATAAGACAGTAGCATTTTCTCTGGAGGAATTCAAAATACGATTTTCGCAATTTTAAAAACAAATGACACTGATATTTTTTTATACTTTATTTTGAAGTGGGCTTTATCGATTAGTCACTATATCAGAGATCAGTGGACAGAAAATTCCCTATTAGAATAGGATCAAAATATCACAATGAGAGAAAATGGAATACATTCAGTACTAACTGTCTAAATCCTTTCAAATCTAAGTATAGATTTCAGAGATATTTGAAATAAAGCTTACGCAGAGAATCCAAATGCTTGACAGACAAAAGTAGTGTCTTTTGCAGTCCAACCATCATCACAAATTGTTCCCCAAACTCCATTGTGATATACTTCTACTCTTCCCTCGTATGGTGTTTGACCTCCGACGAGACGCAACGTGTTGTCTAAAAGGGAAAAAGGAAATATCTCTGAACATATTTCATTTGCTTTTCTCCCTTGCCAAGAAAGTCAGAGAATTTTGAGCATGTGAAGAGGTCTACGTGCTAAAAGGACAGAGACCTTTATTTTCTGAAACAAAGGGAAACTATTGAGTGTTTGATATGCAAACAAAAGGATAAAACATCCTTGTGACTATTGAGTATTAATTTCATTTTTGACATGCTTAAAAGTATCTTTCTTACTAAGACGTGCTGAACAGTTGACAGCAACGTCTTCACTGTGTCCGCAGTTATGGTTTCCCCATCCATTGTGCTGACACTGGTCAATTCTGCTTTCGCTCCCGACACAAGAGACGTCATCCAAGTGTATTGGGCCAGTCGCCACGCCATACGGATTACCAGATAACGCAGTAGCATTTTCTCTGGAGGAAATCAAACAATCGTTTTCGCAGTTTGGAAAAAAATAAATGACTGTGACGTTTATTTTCTTATTTTATTTGACATTTTGAGATGCATTTCTCTCCCATTTCAAATTTTTGCAATCAAAGTGTTTTTCTCGCAGGTTTAAAAACAAACTTTAAGAAAGCCCCTTTCAAAAGATGATCAGGTATCGAATGGAATACTCGGAATGCTGGATTTTCTTTTTTTTTTCTTTTTTTTTTTTTTTGCTTGCATACCTTTTATTTTATATTCCGACTTGTTTTACAATTTGAATTCAGTCTTGAAGGAATGAAAATATAATCTGTTCTTCGCAAATGGTTTGGACATTAAATGCATACAAACCATTTGTATTATCTTCTAATACTCTAAGACTCTCTTTTTATTATACCCATTGAACAGTCTTTCTTTTTCTTAGAATAGCTTTAAACATTCAACCTCTATTATGCTTGGCATGTATTTCAATGACATTTCCCCCTAAATTGCGATGTTGTCTGAAATTTTTTATTCCTACTTTTCCTTAATTTGATCAAATTGGTTGCATTACAAGTCCTGTTGCAGTGGGAAAATGTCTATGCATTAAAATGTTAGGCCCCAAAACTAGAGAAATAATAATGCAGACTACGTAACTATTTAACGAAGCTAAAGTTCTTGTCAATAGAGTGTACAGAATCAAGTCAAATCTCTTTAAAAGTAATAAGTAAAAAACAGTTTGAGAGCTCATTTTCACCTTATTACGAAGAACCACATCCATTGTTTTGGTCAATTAGTCACTATTTAAGAAACTACTGGTGCATAAAAATACCTCTAACAATAGGGTATAAATATCAATATAAAAGATATCGGAACTCGTTCAGAATTAATTGTCTGAAGCTATTCAGATCCAAGTAAGGAGTGCAGAGGTTTTTGAAATAAAGCTTACGCAGAGAATCCAAATGCGCGACAGACAAAAGCAGTGTCTTTTGCAGTCCAACCATCATCACAAATTGTTCCCCAAACTCCATTGTGATATACTTCTACTCTTCCCTCGTATGGTGTTTGACCTCCGACGAGACGCAAGGTGATGCCTAAGGAAGAGAAAAATATCTCTAAACATATTTCATTTGCTTTTCTCCCTTGTCAAGAGAATCAGAATTCCTGACACGTGAAGAGATCGACGCGCTAAAAGCACAGATACCTTTTTTATACAAAAGGCAACTCTAGAGTGTTTGAAATTGAAAGCAAATGGAGAACACGCTCTTGTGAGTGGTGGTTAAGTCAGAATATTTGAATTCATTTTTGACATGCTTAAAAGTATCTTTCTTACTAAGATGTGCCGAACAGTTGACAGAAACGTCTTCACTGTGTCCGCAGTTATGGGTTCCCCATCCATTGTGTTGACACTGGTCAATTCTACTTTCGTTCCCGATACAAGAGACGTCATCCAAGTGTATTGGGCCAGTCGCCACGCCATACGGATTACCAGATAAGGCAGTAGCATTTTCTCTGGAGGAATTCAAAATACAGCTTTCACAGTTTTAAAAATAAATGACACTGATATTTTTTTATACTTCATTTTGAAGTGGGCTTTATCGATTAGTCACTATATCAGAGATCAGTGGGCATAAAATTCCCTATTAGAATAGTATCAAAATATCACAATGAGAGAAAATGGAATACATTCAGTACTAACTGTCTAAATCCTTTCAAATCTAAGTAAAGATTTCAGAGATATTTGAAATAAAGCTTACGCAGAGAATCCAAATGCTTGACAGACAAAAGTAGTGTCTTTTGCAGTCCAACCATCATCACAAATTGTTCCCCAAACTCCATTGTGATATACTTCTACTCTTCCCTCGTATGGTGTTTGACCTCCGACGAGACGCAACGTGTTGTCTAAAAGGGAAAAAGGAAATATCTCTGAACATATTTCATTTGCTTTTCTCCCTTGCCAAGAAAGTCAGAGAATTTTGAGCATGTGAAGAGGTCTACGTGCTAAAAGGACAGAGACCTTTATTTTCTGAAACAAAGGGAAACTATTGAGTGTTTGATATGCAAACAAAAGGATAACACATCCTTGTGACTATTGAGTATTAATTTCATTTTTGACATGCTTAAAAGTATCTTTCTTACTAAGACGTGCTGAACAGTTGACAGCAACGTCTTCACTGTGTCCGCAGTTATGGTTTCCCCATCCATTGTGCTGACACTGGTCAATTCTGCTTTCGCTCCCGACACAAGAGACGTCATCCAAGTGTATTGGGCCAGTCGCCACGCCATACGGATTACCAGATAAGGCAGTAGCATTTTCTCTGGAGGAGATCAAACAATCGTTTTCACAGTTTGGGAGAAATAAATGACTGTGACCTTTATTTTCTTATTTTATTTGACATTTTGAGATGCATTTCTCTCCCATTTCAAATTTATGCAATCAAAATGTTTTTCTCGCAGGTTGAAAAACAAACTTTAAGAAAGCCCCTTTCAAAAGATGATCAGGTTTCGAACGGAATACTCGGAATGCTGAATTTTCCTTATTGTTTTTTTGTTTTGTTTTTGTTTTTGTTTTTTTTTGTTTTTGTTTTTTTTTTTTTGCTTGCATACCTTTTATTTTATATTCCGACTTGTTTTACAATTTTAATTCAGTCTTGAAGGAATGAAAATATAATCTGTTCTTCGCAAATGGTTTGGACATTAAATGCATACAAACCATTGGAAAATATAATCATACAAACCATTTGTATTATCTTCTAATACTCTAAGACTCTCTTTTTATTATACCCATTGAACAGTCTTTCTTTTTCTTAGAATAGCTTTAAACATTCAACCTCTTTTATGCTTGGCATGTATTTCAATGACATTTCCCCCTAAATTGCGATGTTCTCTGAAATTTTTTATTCCTACTTTTCCTTAATTTGATCAAATTGGTTGCATTACAAGTCCTGTTGCAGTGGGAAAATGTCTATGCATTAAAATGTTAGGCCCCAAAACTAGAGAAATAATAATGCAGACTACGTAACTATTTAACGAAGCTAAAGTTCTTGTCAATAGAGTGTACAGAATCAAGTCAAATCTCTTTAAAAGTAATAAGCAAAAAACAGTTTGAAAGCTCATTTCCACCTTATTACGAAGAACCACATCCATTGTTTTGGTCAATTAGTCACTAGTTAAGAAACTACTGGTGCATAAAAATACCTCTAACAATAGGGTATAAATATCAATATAAAAGATATCGGAACTCGTTCAAAATTAATTGTCTGAAGCTATTCAGATCCAAGTAAGGAGTGCAGAGGTTTTTGAAATAAAGCTTACGCAGAGAATCCAAATGCGCGACAGACAAAAGCAGTGTCTTTTGCAGTCCAACCATCATCACAAATTGTTCCCCAAACTCCATTGTGATATACTTCTACTCTTCCCTCGTATGGTGTTTGACCTCCGACGAGACGCAACGTGATGCCTTAGGAAAAGAAAAAAATATCTCTGAACATATTTCATTTGCTTTTTATACTTGCAAAGAGAGTCAGAATTCCTGACACGTGAAGAGATCGACGCGCTAAAAGCACAGATACCTTTTTTATACAAAAGGCAACTCTTGAGTGTTTATCATGAAAAACAAATGGAGAACACGCTCTTGTGACTGGTGGTTAAGTCAGAATATTTGAATTCATTTTTGACATGCTTAAAAGTATCTTTCTTACTAAGATGTGCCGAACAGTTGACAGAAACGTCTTCACTGTGTCCGCAGTTATGGGTT